GACAACAGTAGGGAGTCCCAACATTGATAACTGGTGTTAGCAACCAGGGAACACTCTTCCAAAATATTGTTGTTATTGATGCCACCTCAGAGGCAGTTTAGTGCACAGAGCACTGACCAACAAGTGAGACCCACATTCTATTCCTAGCTCTGCCAATGGCTTACTGGGCATTCCTGAGCAAATACATTACCCCATCTGTACTTCATTTTCCCCAGTATTGCCAACCCTAAAATGTTAAAAGAAATCAGTCAGTTCCCAAAAAAGTGGCTTAAAAATCATGATACTTTTGCGGGGAAGGGAGGTGCGGTCATTGGCTTCTGGTTTTTGTGTCCTTTGAAGGTTTTTTTTCTGCAACCACAAGAAATACAAACTTACAAACTTAAGAAGCAACAACAACAAGGCAGATGCTGGTATTTTCAGGTAATCACTGGTCTCCAGTACCTGGGCCCTTAAATAAAACACCAAATATCGTGACACTCATGATAAAAATCATGAGTTAGCAACACTTCCATTTGTAAAATGAGAATAATTATTCTTATCTTTGTGATGTGCTTTTAAGCTCCCTGGATGAAAAGTGAGAATAGTGGTGTTATTACATCAACATATAGTGGTATAATACATGATGCAGAAAATAAGGGAGTTAAAAAAATTTTTGGGATCCATTCTTAAAAGCCCCCCCAAAAGCTTATTCAACATAATGAAACATTTATGTTAATGTACTTAGGAAAGCATAAGTCAGCATAAAAACAGAGCAAATAGGAATAATGTGTTAGAGCTAGTATTGTGATTTCTCCCTCCACTTCTAAATCATTCTGTATTCATACTTCAATATTACCATTTTTTAGTATAAACAAAATTCAGATGCCTACATCTGAGAAAAGTTTACAAGATTGAGATGAGGTTAGCTGATTAGATTTCAATCACAATTTTGTCCCAAAAAGCAAAGAATGCTGGATCCGGTCCTTAAGGTCAATGAGAATATCTTCACAGACATTAATGGGCTCTGGAACAGACTATTAGTTCTCACTGATGTTACTGTAACATTTTTTTACATCCTAAACACAATACAGAATTATAATTAAAAATATACTGTTCATCTAGTACACCCATAATCATTGAGTCTTCTGAAAATACTTAATACCCCTTATTGTTAATCTTCCACAATGTACAATGCTCACAAAGTTCTTTAGTCCTCTCCTAAATCACCTGCCAAATAATTATCTAGTGACAGCAGAGGACAAACAAAAGATGTGGCAATTTCTTAGCTGTATTATCCTCCCTATACTTAGCCACATGATAAAAATATCTCAAATCCCACAAAATTGTGTTAAGCAAAAAAAGAATTTAGAAACTAGTCACTTGCCTCACATTTAAAAAAACTGGCATTACATTTTATTGAAAGAACTCTGCTTTGAAAACTGTGCTCCCAAATAATATTTCTACTCATGGAAACAACAAATGGGGAAGCTGTATCAAAAGTCTTATGATCTACAGTATTCTTTCAATGACTGATCAATCTGTTCAGACAGTGTATATTACTAGGCTACTTTTTCTTCAATAATCTTATATCCGACCAACATATTCTTCTGTGCCTCTTTTAGAGATTATTAGTCATAGGGAATAACCTCCCTTCATGCTAATTTGACTGATTTATATTAGCAGTCTTATGTTAAGCATAAATGCACAAGGGGAAGTACTGTAGCTTTTTCTGAGCTGTCCCTTGGTACACCCATTATTATGTATACAATTATTCTGATTTTGCCCTATTATTAAAATTATTACCGCAGCAGGGAGTGATCAGATGACTGGCTCATCAAATCTTTATCTTCTGGAAAGTCTATTTTTGCTCAACAGTACTAGCCTGATAATCACGTAGCATCCACTGGGGGAAAAAATGCACACATGACATCTCAAAAATTGGACACGCTTGTGCATAAGAATTACCAACAAAAGAATAAAATTATCATTTCTTCCTCAGCTTCCCCACTCTCATGTGAGGGGATAAACCAACTCACCAACCAGTATATTGATGAAGCTCCCACAAGTGTCAGTATTTCATTCCCTTTTCCTCAGGGATGCACTTATTGTTAAAACACAACAGAGGGTCCTGTGGCACCTTTAAGACTAACAGAAGTATTGGAGCATAAGCTTTTGTGGGTGAATGCCCACTTCATCAGACTTGCTCCAATACTTCTGTTAGTCTTAAAGGTGCCACAGGACCCTCTGTTGCTTTTTACAGATTCAGACTAACACGGCTACCCCTCTGATACTTGTTAAAACACAGTTCATCATCACTGAAGACAGGTAAACCAGGTCCTGTCACCTAGCCTCTCCTCCGGCCCCTGTCTCAGCAACCTTATGCTGCTCCCTACCCAGCAGGTATCCCCAGCCAAGTCTTCCACCTAGCTAGTGTGGGAAGACCCCTTTCCTCATCCACAGTCTCCTACAGGAACCTCTCTGCTCCCTGCAGCAATCCCCCTTTAAGTGAGCAGTTTGTTGGCCTTCTTTCCCCCCTGCTGGGAGGCAGCTGATTAGCCCAACTCCCTGGAAGGGCATCCATGCTGTGGTGGTGTCCAAAAGCATGTCACTATATCTCATTCTACCAGGTATCCAGCATGCCTTGCTACAAAGAGTGTTGAACTTGATTGACCCTATCCACAGCAGTGAGACCACCATTTTCAGCACCATTTTAAAAAGCTGCATAAATAATTTTTAACATGCATTTTCCAAATGCTCATTTTCCCAGTGTAAGTGGGGGTTGGGATGTTAGTGGCAAGAGCATACTGAACACTCAACATTCAAGGAGTTCTTCTGTGATCTATTTGTTAATGTTGAAAGTTCTAATCTGAAGAGCACTGAAATCAATGGAAGACTTTCTTCTGATTGGCATGGACTCTGAATCAGACCCTACTTGTATAAGGCAGATTGTACATTTGTACCTCTAAATCACCTTTTTTCTTCATTTTCTTCTATCCTGTTTTCTCTCTTTTGTCAGGAGGCAGAGAGTGGGATTTATGGAAAACTGATTGGTAGAGTAAATTGCCCTTGTCTGAGACAAGAACAAATTGTATATATCAAAATATTCTGAATATCTTTTATTGCTTAAATTTAGAATAAAGATTTTTTTGTTAAAAGAAGAAGAAAAGAGAAATAAGAATGAAATATCTTGGCAAATAGTTGATTCTTATATCCATTTTCCATTCTAATATAATTGTGCCCAATCTTGCACTTTTTACACAGGCAAATTCACTAATTTATTGTATAGTATCTTTGCCTGAATAAAAAATGCAGGAGTAGGTGCATATGCTGATTGTATGTATAAGAATTGCCTAAAAGGCACCAGATTACCTGTTGACAGAACAGTAACTTATCACAAGGATGAAAGTTGTTAGGGGGCATTCAGCTAGTTCACTTGTTACATGGGGCTTCCACCCACTTTGTGACTATGTTTCTTACACAGGAAACTATGCCAAGTAAATAGGTCTCTGATAAAAAGTGAGGAAATACAGCGAGCCTTATTTTAGATGGTGTCCAACGCAAAGAGCAGTTTTATATCAGCAATAGTGTGGAACTTTAATTAGGACGAAGTGGGCACACTTGTTCACAATTGACTTAATCCATTTCAAAGTTTGTTAGCAATAAATTCCAGTGCTTTCTATGCTACTCTTCTCAGGTTCTCATACCATGGCATCTGAATTTGTGAATTTAAAATGATGACAAAGAAAGCAATACAAAAAGAGTATTCAAGGTAAACAGAGTTAGAAAGTCAGCTCAGTAAATTGTTATAAATTCAATGCTTAGCACTTCACATTTCAGAGATTCTCTCTTGCTGTCCATACTAATGCAGAGAATGCTACCCTATTTTTTCCCCCATTGATTTAATCCATCCTTTGCCAATATCATTACACAGCATCCTGTAAGAGTTTCCTAAACACAGTGCTTCACTGGTAAGGTGGCAGGGACTGGTGCCTACAAATGGTTCACTACCTGCTGAAGAGGTTGCAGCAGCACTAGGTTTTCAATGACGCCACATGGAGAGAGGTAAAAGAACAAGATAAAGCAGGTTGTATGAGGGGGAGGGAATTAGGCCCCTTCACTCCATCACAAAATCAATAGTTATAACTGCACACTAGCAAGCCCCAAACAAGCAGCAATTAGCAGTATATCTATATGATATTTCTATAACCATAATCAATGTCTGTTTAAATATTCTCAATCATCAACCCAACCTGCTATGTGTTTTGCAATAGTTTTTTTTTTTTTTAAATCCCCTTTCTCCCACAAATTAAGCAAAAATATTGTATGGTGGGTTTTTTGAAAAGTAGTTTTAAATTAAAATATAGACAAATTCTTTATGTAATCCCCAATTACATAATTCTTGAGTGCACTAAAAAGATGTCCTTCTATGTGTATCAAAGTAGAGTTCAAAACAGATCATGTTTTAACATTCACAGTGGAAAGCAGAAAAAAGTCTGATGAATAATAAACAAGCAGTAAACAGATCTTTCCAAAACACAAACACAGCAGGGAGGCTTCAAAACCAAAAGCAACCATGAGATGAAAAAGAAACAGAAAACAGAGAGCCCACCCCCAAATAAATGAGACAATCGATATTCTGCATTCAGGCAAAATTTTGTGATGCACTGAGCAAAGCAGCAGCAATGTTGTTTGTTTTCTGCAAACTGCTATCTGCAAATTCCTCTCGGGATACCTATAGCCACAGTGCACCCTATTTTACAGTCTCCTCCTATGGATGTTCTGGCAGAGGGAAGTCCACATTTGACAATCAAATACAGCCTAGGTGTGCATTGCCATCAGCGACCCCAGGCTCACAGGAAAGAGACTAAGAAATACATGTTTTGTAAACAGTCAGCAATAGGGATCCTAATAAGGCACATTTGCAAAGCAGCAGCTTCCACAGTAATTTATCCCTTAGCGCCAGCGATGGATGGCTGCATTTGGCTATGTCTAGAAAAGGTAAAAGGCGTCCGGCGAGTTACCTGCTCCCCGAAGTCGATGGCTATATTGGTGATGCCCAAAGGAACCAAGAATCGGATCAGGGGCCAGTAGTTAGTGAGCGCTGGAAATTTCACCATATTCCCAGCTGTGCGAGGACCCCAAACACATCTGCCGTAGCAGGGAAACTGCAAGGGGGGAGGAATGGGGAAAGAAGGGAAAAAAAGAGAGAAAAGAAAAGCCCCCTAAAAATCAAGCTTCTGGCTTGGCTGGGGGAGGCTCTGCATCTAGCGACAGCAGCAGCAGCGAAGCGGGCTCTTCTCTCCTCCTCCGCTCGCTCTGCTCCGCTCTGCGCGGTGTGTTGCTGTCTTAGCAAGAGATCCAAAAGATCAAGTCCATCCCTGCTGCCCTCCTCCCACACAACAATGATCTGCTGCTGCTGGGGGAAAAAAGAGGAGGGACACCACCACCACCACCAGAAATTTCTGCGGGCGGGTTTTCCATTATAGGAGCTAGGGCACACACACAAAAATGAGGTAGGTACCCTGGCTTAGCCTAGCCGGCAGCAGGGGGATGGGAGCAGGGGTGGGAACAAAAACAAACCAACCACCGGCATGGGGCAGGATGAGCCGGGCTGTCTCGCCGCCGCCTCCTTCCCCAAGCTGTGGGAGGAGAGGGACGCAGGAGGATGGCTGAGGCTCCTTGGCGGCCGCCTCGGCGGTGCAGAAAACAGGCTGAGGCCGGAGACGCTGCGCCCCGGCCCAGCTATGTCTCCTCTCTCGGCGTCTGCCTCTCTAAACACGTGGGTTTTGACACACACCCGGCCTCATTTCAGGAGGGGAGGGGAAAGAGCGGCATCTCTCTGCTCCTCCTAACGCCGGCGCCCGGGCACAGCAGCACCTCTAGCTGCTGCAGCCCGCACAGGAGAAGCGGCTGGTGCCTGCTGAGCAGGACAGTAAACAAGTGTGCGTGTTGTACATGAGGTGTGCGCGCGTAGGTGTACAGCGAGTGTGGCTATACAAATGACTGTGTGTAAATGTGCATTCTCCTCCATACACTGCATTTATGCACATACACACTAGACATAGGCATGATACACATATACACAACATACTTTCCACACACAGGCTCACAGCACATTGTATGTACAGTGCAGGTGTCGGTTTGTGTACAGTAGCTGTGGTTTTTTTGGGGGTGTGCACATTGCCACATTGTGTATGTAGGTGTGGTGTGTGTACATTCATATGGATGTAACTGTGGTGATTTTGCATGTACAATATCTGCATTTCTATGTGTACATGCATGTCTACATCTAGCATGCATCTGTTAATGCCCTCTGCTGTGCTCCAAGGCGCTGCCACATAATGGAGTTACAGTCAGCAGAAGTGTGCAGTTTTCTGTTCCTCCATGCGTTGTACCAACACTAGTCTGTAAACTTCTCCCCCGGTCTGGTTTTAGGATTTATGAAGTCCCAAGCAAAAGTGGAGCTTTACAGTGCTTGGAGCAGGACTTCATCTGTGAGTTGCCCACTTGCCTCCCTGTCTTGTTCTACTGAAAAAGTGTGGAAGAGTGAGCTGGCCTGCAAGTTGCACGTCTATACAGGTCCCTCTCAAAAGTGGGACCCCAAACTTGCATTACATGTTAATAAGGCCTTCACAGTGTGTGTTTGACCATTACTGTAGAATACTGTAGAATGTAAGCAGTGCCTGATGGGGAAGGCACGTCCTGTCTGTTAATGACTGGCTGGAGGGCTTACAGAACTAAAGCAAAGTAGTGGATGGGGGTGTCCTTAATCTCGCTAGTCATTACTGGTCAGGAAATGCCTGACACAGAGTTTTTGTTCTGATAAACCACATAAAATAATAAATAAAGGGAGACCATTTGTCAGCAAGATGTGTTAATATTTCAAAGTCAGATTAATTTCTTAACAATAAAATGTGCCATTTGCTTGTAGTCTGGAGGCCCAAGCCTGCTCACGTGGAAAGCAATGGAGTATCTGTTCACTGGGAGTACTGTTGGACCTTGGCTCCATTTCTAGAAAATAAAGACTAATGCAGTTAACCACTGAGAAAAGCAGGACTTGATTCTCAATTTTTAATTGATATATGTAAGACTCTTGGACTTTCCAATTTCTATTGACAGAGTTACCCTAAAGGTGGAAGAACCAGGATATGTCTACACTACAAAGTAAAACCCATGGCACCACATCTCAAAGCCCAGGTCAGTTGTATCTGGCTCAGGTAGCTCAGGCTGCAGGGCTAAAAATAGCAGTGTAGATATTTGGTCTTGGGTTTTCCAACTACAGAAGCAGTTTCTCCTCCCTTGGTGTTCACACCTCAACTGCTAGCAGAGCACCTCACCCTCCC